AAATTACAATGGCAGCTCTAGGACAAAGTATGCAGGAGGAGAAGCATGGCAAAGTTGAGATGACTTGGATGGGAAACGAATCACAATAGTGTGCATTGATAAGTATTGTATTGCAGTGGTCTGTACAGATTAGACATCTTTAACAAATACTTTAAATATATTCTGTTAACAACTTCTATTTTAAGATAGACTGGTTTATTTGAGTATAAATACTGATAAATCCCAGTAATGAAACACTGTTTGCACAAACTGAGAAGTCTAWTAAATGAGTTAACCTTTGGATGGCAGTGGTGCTTCATGTGCTGCTGAACAGTTGTTGTCTTTCTCCATCTCCAACTTAGATTGTGTCCCTGCTTCAGTGTCATTCTCTGAAAAACACGCAGCAAAAATAAAATCWAATTCTGCTACACAAACATGATGTGTAGCTGAAGATTTTTTTCAATGCATTAGAAGTAGATAACTTGTAATATAATAATTGTAATATACAAACATGTTTAACAATACTTAACAGAGGTAATATTATTTAATGAGGCTTTCAGGCAGCTACCACAACGATAAAATACTTCAGTACTCACATAAAAAACACACAACTGCCAGCAAGACCTACAGCCCGAGTTTTCACCCTTTTTCCTACCTGACAAACTGGATAATAAATTAATATTTACTGTATCTTTCAGAGGCTAATCACTCATTTCCACTAAGTTACCGCCACTAAATTATATATTCCTTTTTGTTTTTAACAAAAAGTGGCTACAATACGCCAATATTTTCGCTATCTTGGCTAGCGTTAGTTAGCWTGTGACGCTTCCGGTTCCCTCCTGATGTACTTCCGGTTAGCTGATGCCGTGTGTCTGTTCTGCCCAAACATTGGGTAAATAAATATGACAACCGCTTAAATTGTTCGTGTTTTCACCCATATCGCATCGGACGTTTTCATTCAAATTAAGTTCCCGGATTATTTATTTTTTGACGGACGAATAATAAAAATCAAGGAAGCTYGGAACAAATAATCGTGAGCTTTAGAGAGTAGTCGGAACGTTTTTGTTGACACACAGGATGTGAAGCGTTGTTTCTGCATTCATTCGTTACACACGAGGATTTTTTCAGTACTAAACTGTTATAATTGTTTTTTAAAACAGATTTTATTATGAATTATTTTCATCTCCACGCATTACAGTTATAAAAGCTTTAATTTCGCGGGAAGGCCGCAGAAATCGGCGCCATGCCGCTGTCGGACTTTCTGGACAGCCTGAAGGACAACCCTTACTTTGGCGCCGGGTTTGGACTGGTCGGGGTCGGGACCGCGCTGGCCGTGGCCAGAAAGGGAGCCCAGGTGGGGATGATCTTCTTCCGTAGGAACTACATGATCACCCTGGAGGTGCCCAGCAGGGATAAGAGCTACACCTGGCTGCTGAGCTGGATCACGAAGCACGCCCGGCACACCCAGCACCTGAGCGTGGAGACCTCCTACCAGGCTCACGAGAGCGGACGGGTTCACACGCAGTTCGACTTCCACCCGAGCCCCGGGGACCACATCATCTGGTCAGGAGAAATATTCAAATCCTCTTGTTTTTATCAGGATGCTAACAATCAGTTGGTTTTTCTCTGTATTAAAAGCAGAACTTGGTGTCACAGTGATCCCATGTGGTCTTCAGGTATGGGAGGAAGTGGATCAGAGTGGAGCGGACCAGAGAGAAGCAGATGGTTGATCTTCACACTGGAACTCCGTGGGAGTCTGTCACCTTCACTGCGCTGGGCAGAGACAGACAAATCTTCTTTAACATCCTACAAGAAGGTGTGTGTTCAAAGCAGGGCTCCAACTGTTAGGCACGGCAGTGGAGGCTTTATGGTTTGGGCTTGTTTTAGGCTCTGCTGACGAGTCAACCGTGAACTCCTCTGCAGAACACCTGGTTCTAGAGTCACATGTGAAGCTGTTTGACACGAAGCTGAAGTTAGCTTCCGATTCGGGAAATGACTYAAGGGCGATTACAACTAATTTTTCACAACCTTCAGCATATTTAATCTGCTCTAGTTTAAAAACTAAAACACCTAGACTCTTCAAACCTGGACTAGATTATTCTACACTAATAGCAGAATAATTAAAACTTAGTTTGGGATTTGTGAAAGCTTTTTCTGATTTGTGAAACTTCAGCGAATATTGTTTTTCATCATTTTTCAGACAACTGGACCACACTAGACCTGGTCCAGCTCCGAAACCACAACACCCAGACTCTTCAAACCTAGACAAAATTATTCTACATTAATAAAAGAATATTTAAAACTTAGTTTGGGATTTGTGAAAGCTTTTCCTGATTTGTGAAACTAAAGCAAAATTTGCTTTTTATCATTTTTGTGCATCTGGACCACATTAGACCTGGTCCAGCTCCAAAACCACAACACCTGGACTCTTCAAACCAAGACTAGATTATTCCACATTAATAGAAGAATAATAAACACATTAATTTTGAGCTTTGGGAAACCTTTGTCTGATTTGTGAAACATCAACAAAGTTTGTTTATCATCATTTTTCAGGCAACTGGACCACACTAGACCTGGTCCAGCTCCAAAACCACAACACCTAGACTCTTCAAACCTAGACTAAATTATTCTACATTAATAAAATAATATTTAAAACAAACTAAAAAGAAGAACAATCTAGTCCAGGTTAGAAGAGTCTAGGTGTTGTGGTTTTGGAGCTGGACCAGGTCTAGTGTGGTCCAGATGCACAAAAATGATAAAAAGCAAATTTTGCTTAAGTTTCACAAATCAGAAAAAGCTTTCACAAATCCCAAACTAAGTTTTAAATATTCTTTTATTATAGTAGAATAATTTAGTCCAGGTTTGAAGAGTCTAGGTGTTGTGGTT